CCTATATCCCACCCTCAGTTTTGTATTTTTTTAAAACACACCAACGGATGTCTCACAGACAGTCAATGAGGCATCTTTCCAATAATGAAGCTATAGGGTTGCATGCAGTTGAAAAGGCAGCAAACACCATGAACCTGCAGTTTACTGCAATCAAGTACTCCCTCCGTCCCATAATGTAAGATGTTTTTTGACACTACACTAGTGTCGAAAAACGTCCTATATTATGAGACGGAGGGAGTACTAGTTACAGTAGTAATTGGTCTATTATGAAACCTCTTTTTAATAGTCCTTTGAGTATTTGATTGCATCATAGTAAATTGCATTCACAAGTTGATGTTTCCATTAGATTTTTTACATCTGGCACAAACTCTTCCACATAGCTGTGAGAAATATTATTCCTTTTACGAATTTACTGTCTTCAACATTCATTTTGAAGCTCATCACATTCTAACAAGATTCATTGTGCAGTGTTTTGACTCCATATTACAATGAGGAAGTACTTTATTCATCTCATCAACTAAATAGAAAGAATGAAGACGGTATCTCGATTTTGTTTTATCTACAAAAGATTTATCCAGGTGAGTTGCCAATTCTATTTTATGTTTCTTAAACAAAATGTATCAATTTTTAACTCATAATAAAATTTAACGATGCTTGTCAATCTCTAGATGAATGGAAGAACTTTCTACAACGCATTGGAGTTGATCCAGATAACGAAGATGAAGTAAAGGGATGCATGGATGATATCCGTATATGGGCGTCTTACCGGGGTCAAACACTTGCCAGAACTGGTAACATGAAGATTGTATCTCTTAAAAGCTGACAATTTTTCTGTCTTTCTGCTTATCTTATTGTTTGCATCTTGAATAGTGAGAGGGATGATGTACTATAGACGAGCTCTTGAAGTGCAATGCTATGAGGATATGAAAAGTGAACAAGGTTAGCCACATAGGGTTCTGAACACTGGTTCTGCACTTCTCATGATGATGGCAGGAGAACGAGCAGGCCTACACTGGAGATGTCACTGGTCGCCTCCGACGAAGCTGGAGAGGCCGGAGGAGGGGCGGCCAGCCGGAGAGCAGCCTCGAGGGCGGCGGCCGTCACCCGGGTGCACCCGGCCCCGGCGCCGCCATGACCCGGAGGTGGGTTGGATGGCTCCCGGGAAGGGGAGCGGGAGTGCTCCGATAGGTTGTCGTCGTCCTCCGGGTCGTCGTGGCGAGAGGGGCGAGGGCGCCGGTGGTGGGAGTCGTCGGCATCACCTGCCCCACCTCCCTGGTGACCATCATCGGAGAAGCGGGGGCGGCCGACATGGTTCGGTGGCTCGAGGCAGATCTTGAGGTCAAAACCCCCGTCGTTGAAGAACATGCGGACTGTGGCGCGGAGCTTGGAGGAGTCCAGGGATTTCACCTTCATCCGGACCTCCTCCTCCTTGCGAAGTGAGAGATCGTCGACCACCACCACCTTGCTGAGGATCTTGGACATACTGCCGATGACCCGCTCAGACCGGGCAACATCGGGCAGGCCGGCAATGAGGATCCAAGCCGTGTCCAGGACCGCCACCGCCTTGGGATCCCACTTCGGCTCGGAGATGGCCACCACCAACTGGTTGAGAACCAAGGTGATGTTGGCGCTGCCAGTGCAGTACCCCATGCTGATGGCGTCTGGGAAGACCATCGTGAAGGTGTTGGCGGAAGTGGGGGCCACCTACCAGTCCCACTTGCACCTCACAGGTGGTTGAGCTCGGCCTCGATCATCGCGGGGGAAGCGACAACCTCGCCCACGACGGAGACAATCGCCAGGAGCGAGGGGGAGGGCGGAGGAGCGTCTGGCACCTCGACGAGGAAGAAGCCCATGCCCTCGATGCCGTGGCCGTACATCATGATCTCCTCGGTCACCGGCCGGTCCGGGCAAAGAACTGCGGGGTGGCTGGAGTCCTTGCAGAGGTAGCACATCGGCGGGTTGGGGCATGCCACCTGGAAGTGGCCGGTGAGCCCACAGTTGAAGCACGGCGGGGAGTCTCGCGGGGCACCGGTGTCCACAGGAGGGGCTGGCGCGGCGGATGAGGCGGGAACAGGAGGACGAGCCGACCCCTTCTTCTTCTTCTTCTTAGACTTTGGCGACCGCAGTTGCCATTGCCACCGTTGGCCGGAGGGAATGATGGCTGATTTTGCGGAGGTTGATACCGGCGCGGGGCTTGAGAGTTGCCGAAGTGCTGCTGTTGGATTCTTGGGGGGGAGGGGACGGCGAACACCACCGGGAAGAGCGCCATTGCTCATCCACGGGCGAGCGAGGGCGGTCCCGATGGGAAGCGCGGCGAGCAGGGGAGCGGCGGTCGCGGTCCGGGGAGCGACGCTCCGCGCGCGCCGGCGACCGGCGGGACTCGCGGGCGGGAGGCGAGCTGTTGGCATAGGTCAGCCTCCCGGCGCAGCCCGTCCGGAGAGGAGCGGGGGGCGTCCCGACGGTCATCACGGCCGCGCTTGAGCCGATCGGCATCATCCCCCCAATCCCGGGGCATGGCCGCTGGGGGCGGAGGGGGGCACGGCGCCGGAGCCGGA